GTTTCGCGTTGCGATTCTCTCGTTGCGATTTTCATTTCGCGTTGCGATTCTCTCGTTGCGACAGTCATTCTCTCGTTGCGATTTTCATTTATCTCGTTGCGACTCTTCTGCAAATTGAAACTTGAATGGATTGCATTACTTCAACCAAAAGACAGAACAAAGACAAAGACAAATACTAACTTGAAAATCGCAACGAGAGAATAGCAACGCGAAATGAAAATCGCAACGAGAGAATCTTAACGCGAAATGAAATCTAAGTGAAATGCTTAATCTATTATTGAAATGACCAGTAAACTTATCATCAGTTTCAATATGAAAAACCTACAATAATGCAAACATTTCAAAATAAAAATAATTAAAAAAACTAACCCTCGGAGGTTGATTTTCCATTTCTGAATATTGTGAGGGATTTCTGACCGTGAATGGTTGTGAGGGATTTCGCCGGAGATGGGGACGGAAATCTTCGGAGATGGGGACGGATTTCTTCGCCGTAGAGTGAGAGATGGAGATGGGACTGAGTTGTGATTTTAGGTTTTAGGTTATGAGTTGCGATTACGGGATTTGTCTTAATATTCTTTTGTAATTTGAAAATAAAATACGCGTAGCGATTATAATGGCGCTTTAAATATCGCGTTGCGATTTACGGATACGCGTTGCGATTTTATGTATTATCGTTGCGATTTACGGATACGCGTTGCGATATACGGATACGCATTGCGATTTACCCATACGCGTTGCGATTTTACGGATACACGTTGCGATTTACGGATACGCGTTGCGATTTATGTGTTCGCGTTGCGATTTTCATATTCGCGTTGCGATTATTGAAAATCGCAATGCGAATTTGTACTATCGCATCGCGATTTTCAAGAATCGCGTTGCGATTTTGGAAACTGATTTGCGATTCTGGGGATCGCGTTGCGATTTTTATTTCGCGTTGCGATTTTGTTGGTCATTTTGGCAAATCCAAAAAAAGTTGGTTAAAATCGTATATTATAACTTTTTTTTGGTCACTGAGGCGATTTTCTCTATATATAAAGAGCGGTGTTATAATAATTATCCCTAAATATATAAGAGAAAAGACTTAATGACAAAAACAAGTGTCCAAACTATACTAAGAGATGGACCGAGGGGCGCTGGGGGCATTCGGCCCTGTAAATTTTAAATTCTCTTTTATTTTAATTTTTTTTGAGTATTTTCTATTGATAACTTGTTTTCACTTCCTATCATAAAATCTTGTGTCCGTCAATGACTATATTTTTTGCTCATTTTAGGTGCATAAAAGTATTTTTTGTTCGAAGTAGGTGTCTAATGTTTCTGATGTTATTTTTTTGGTACATAATTTGTCACGACCGTTAAAAAATCGTCATATGATATATGTCACACACACACATATATATATATATTATTTAAAAAAAAAAACTTAAAATTATAGTTTTTTTAAATCCTAAATTCTTCTAAAATCATAAAATAAATTTAAATTCCTAAAATATCTAATTCCAATCCCCTTACCACCAATAGTCGTCAATTTACCAAAACTCCAATCATGCCAACCGATTGGCTTCTTTCACCAATATCACATGACAACAAGCACAAATAAAAAAATCCCAACCAACCACCAATACCACTGTCTTCGTCAACACCGCTACCTTGATGGTCGGAACAAAATGACGAAAATGTCGGAGTAGAACGATTAGAAGGGCAACATTGAATCTTTTTCTTCCTCAAGGGTGACAAGCGATGGTTTTCTTCCTCATATCCTAAATCAGATTAAGGATGACAAGAAGTGCTGAAGATGAAATGGTCAACGACAAGGACGAAGACGATCAACAAGGGGTACCCACATTAAGCGAAAAATACTTTAATCACCTAAAATGAACAAAAAGTATAATTTGTACATTTATTTTTGTCATTAAAGCTAAAAGAAAATTATACTATAATCCAAGTCAGGTTAGATCAAAACAAATACAACACACATCCTCTCCGTCGCCACCGCAAGAAAGCTTCAAATCTTCAAACCTCGCAACCAGAAGGAAAACACCGGTCGTGGGGAACCTCCGCTCCGGTTGAGACCACGGGAAGACGATATAACCAGCGAGGTCGAAACAAGCTCTTGAACTGAAGATATGGGATCCATACACAAGTGTAGAAAATCAGGGCCGCCATGCATGAACCCGAGTTAGAACACAGTAGAGAAATCATCTTCTTCTTCTTTTTCTTGTTTGTTAAAAGCTCCGTCCCAAAGAAATAAATTCAGTAGAGAAACCTTTATATAGGGAGTGGAGTTCAAAGGGGTGAATAAACATAACATGCAAGTGTTCCCCGGGTACTCTGGTTTGAGCAAAGGTTTTGACTTTTCATTTGTTTAATGAGAAGGGTTGTTATGAAACTGTGAATTCGGCGAGAGTGAAGGGCCGGCGCCGACCCCACATCCTCTGAGTCTGCGCTTTTATTTTGTTCGGGAAGAACCCACGCTTCCAGCCAAAGCGATAACCGCTACATTCTTCTCGGATTCGAGCATAACTTCTAAAAATAAATGAGATTTAGGGATAATGGCATGAATGGTCCCTAGATTATAGTAAATCTTCCCTATGCGTACTTATGTTTCTAAAATAGTACATGGACTCTAATATTGTCAAATATGTGAAATGACATGCAGCCTCTTTAATCCAAATTTAGACATGTCACATCGCATAGAGATATCACATGACATTATAAATAACTAATTGTTTTATTAATGTCTATTAAATTGAATGATAATAAATTTAATATCTGTTAAACAATGAATAGATTTTAATACAATGGATAGATAATTTTACTCCTCAACTCTTAATATAGACGGAATCTATGTGGTTATCGGACCAAGAAGAAAATGATTTGAAGAGGTTATAATATAGTATCTATTTAGATTATTTTTTAATTATTGATAACGTCTATATATAATAATGGGTGTAGGCTTTGTCCAGTGTAGACACGTGATCATCCTAAAATCTAATTTTTTTTATTAATAGTTTGTTTTATCGTGGGTGTTCATCCAAAAAAAATTAAATATTTACTTTTTTAAATAATATTTATTTTTTTAAAAAAATATTTATAATATATTTTAGATATTTATTTTAAAAATATACTCTATAAACAAAACCTAACATCATCATATCTCAAGAGACAAAGGCTCATAAATAATATTTACTTTTTTTTAAAAACATATATATTTATAATATTTATTTTAAAAATATACTATATAATTTAAACAAAATCTAACATCATCATATCTCAAGAGACAAAGGATCATAAATATATGCAGAGATGATAACTAATAAAGTTAAATCAGGTTAAGTTTTCAATCCAACCTGACCTAACACAGGAAATATGCTCTTTCATTTTTTCTTGAGTTTAGACAAGTTTTATTTGATCTTAAAATTGATACAAATTTTAATGTAAAAATTTATATTCGATCTGACTCGACACAAATATAAAACATATTTTCATTCGACAAAAGATATATCTATTGGAAAATATATATATAAAGAGCGATGTTATAATAATTATCCCTAAATATATAAGAGAAAAGACTTAATGACAAAAACAAGTGTCCAAACTATACTAAGAGATGGACCGAGGGGTGCTGGAGGGATTTGGCCTTGGAATTTTTAAATTCTCCTTTATTTTAAATTTTTTTGAATATATTATATTGATAATTTGTTTTCACTTCCTATCATAAAATCTTGTTTCCGTCAATGACTATATTTTTTTTGCTCATTTTAGGTGCATAAAAGTATTTTGTTCGAAGTAGGTGCCTAATGTTTATGATGTTATCTTTTTATGTACATAATTCGTCATGACCGTTAAAAAATCGTCATATAATACGTGTCATATATATATATATATATATATATATATATATTAAATTTTATTTTAAAAAACTTAAAATTATATATTTTTTAAATCCTAAATTCTTCTAAAATCATAAAATAAATTTAAATTCCTAAAATATCTAATTCCAATCCCCTTACCACCGATAGCCGCCACCAACATCGCCAATTTACCAAAACTCCAATCATACCAACCGATTAGCTTCTTCCACCAATATCACATGACAACAAGCACAAATAAAAAAAATCACAACCAACCACCAATACCACTGCCTTCATCAACACCGCTACCTAGATGGTTGGAACAAAATGATGACAATGTCGGAGTAGAACGATGAGAAGGGCAACATTGAATCTTTTTCTTCCTCAAGGGTGACAAGCGATGGTTTTCTTCCTCAAATCCTAAACCAGATTAAGGATGAAGACAAGTGCTGACGATGAAATGGTCAATAACAAGGGCGACGACAACAACAAGGGCGACAACGATCAACAAGGGGAGATGCTACTAGGATTAGGGATTTTAGAGTTTTTTAGGGATTTTTTTAATTTTAGATAAATTAGAATTTTTTTAATATAGTTTTATTTTTTTTAATATAGTTTTAAGTTTTTTAAATTAAAATTTAAAAAATATAAATACAACACGTGCCGAATAACGATTTTTTAACAGTCGTGATGGAACATGTATTTAAAAGAGTAACAAAAAACTTTTTTAGGCACTCACATTGAACAAAATACTTTAATCACCTAAAATGAACAAAAGGTATAGTTTGAACATTTATTTTTGTCATTAATCTTAAAGAAAATTATACCATAATCCAAGTCTAATCATATTAGATCGAGTCAAAATCTATTAAATTATGATCAAATGACCATACCTAAATACACATGCCATGATGTTAACAGGCCTAAAGCTCATAAAGAGAGCGTGTTAGTAGGCTTAAAGCCCATAAAGAGCGTCAAAATTTGAATTGGATAGATAACACGTGCGGAGAGATTTTCAGCTATTTATTGTTACCCTCACAGAAAGAAGAGAAAACTGCGGTTGAATTACCTGTCCTGTCTGCTCCAACTATCCCGAGTATTTTCGTTTCCGTTTCTCCCGTTTCAAAAAATTCCCCAAAAACCCAGGCTCGGCCGAGTGAAGCACCTAACTCAGCGGGCCAGGGTTCAACTCTGAGCTTGGTCTTAAAGCTTTTTCTCTCTCCAACAAAGACAGCCAAAGTAAGTTTCTTTTTGTTTTGTTAGGTTCATTAATGCCGTACCCTCTTCAGGATTTTGTCTCACCCGTTTCTTTTCCCTCTTTTTCCCATGTATTTTTAATGCAGGGGCTTAAAAAGAGTCAAACCCCTTTCTTTTCTTAAAAAACTTGTTTATTTTGTTGATAATCCAGAAAGCAAGTGATGTCTGTGAGTATGAGGAAACTTGTTTCTTGTGATATTGTTTTTGTTATTGTTTTGTGAATTTAATTGAAAAAGAGTTTGGTTTTATGTTTTTTTTAATTAGGAACAAGAGAAGATGGTCGGTAGTGGTAGTGAGGCTCAGATGGATGATTCCAAGCCACTCTTGGAAGGAACTGAGGGTGTTGTTGTAGCCGAAGCTGACTGTTTAGCTCCAATGGACACTGAAAAAGAAGCCGCTAAAGTGAAAGACCATATTCAGGTTGAAGAAGATGGGAAATTGATGGCTCAGCCGGTCTGCGACAACCTGGATTCCGTTGAAGGACAAGCTGTTTCTGACCAAACCCACGGTCGTGAGGATCATGACAAGGCTCACAATGTTGTTGTTGATGCTGCTGATGTTCAAAATGAGGAGATTTTAAATTCTGGGGATGATGAAGATGGTAAATTTAAGGATGTTGAGGACAAATCTGTGGCCGAAACTGTTACCAGAACGGATGAAATTGAACATGACAATGAACTCTGTGGAATCCCCACTGCTGAAATAAAAGTAAAGCCCGAAGGTGATGCCGATGGAGTTGACAATCAGGAGCAGACCACATCGAGAGAACTCGATGACAAAAACCCTAACATGTGCTTCGACAACGACTGGTCCGACTTGGAGGAGGAGCAAGTGGCTTTCGTGAAAGAGGTTGAAGCATTTTACAAGGAGAATAACCTTGAATTCAAACACCCTAAGTTTTACAAGGAGGATTTGAATTTGCTCAAGTAAGCCTTTTTCAAGTATGCATGTTCATCATTTTCCTTGATAAAATTGAAGTCTTTGTGTTAACTGTTCTTCCCTTTTTGATATGATTAAAGGTTATGGAGAGTTGTCATCAAATTGGGAGGCTATGAACAGGTTTGCTTGTACATTAAATTGAAAGTGTAAAACTAAAATCAAATGGCATATCAATCGTTTAAGTTCTTTGGTAATGTGTTGCTTTCCTGATACTTTTTGAAGGAGATGCCTGTGTGTACAGCATCTGCATGTGCAAAGTCATTGTTGTCTGTGAAATTATCTGGTTGTAGTTAGTTGGGTTTTACCGAACATGAAAGAGGCCGTTAATTATGTTTTAATGTTTATTTAGTAACGACAAAAAATTCGCTTGCCTTTTATGGTTATGAATATGAAGTAGTTATGGACTTCCTTTCCTAATTGTGCCATGGACTTTGTAGGTGACCTCGTGCAAATTGTGGAGGCAGGTGGGAGAATCGTTTAATCCCCCAAAGTAAGAATAACCTGTAACGTCTTGTTGATGAGCTAGCGATTTGCTTGACTTGAGTACTGAAAAGCCTACACTTTTCTACTATTAAAACTGCTTGTTCAATTGTTGGTGAATTTTGATTTCGTATGACATTTTATATTGTGTGGGAAAATCTATGGGATTAAAATTTTATGTTTGCTAACTCGGTTTCCTGTTTTTATGAATAGAATTTGTTAATGAAGCACCCTCGTGTCCTTATACCACAATTATGGCTAACCTTTTATTTACTTATTTGTTGCGCATAGGACCTGTACTACTGTGTCTTGGACATTCCGTATCTTTTATGAGAAGGTTGGGTTCTAACCACATATTTCCATTGATTATAGTAACAGAGATACTCTTTGAATTAAGGCCACGTCCCTTCCTCCGTCTTCTCTAATATAAATTATCTTTATTTTCTATTTTGGCTTGTGGTTCTCCTATGATTTGGTTCCACCAATTTGTGCAGGCACTGCTCGAGTATGAAAAGCATAAATTGCATGGCGCTGTACTCCCTCATTCTGTTCCTTCCCTCATAGAGCCTATCACGGTTGTTAGTCCGGTAAAATCCAATAATTATATTATTATAATGCTTTCCGATCCGCTTGGCATAGCATATTTGTTTCAATGTTACTTGTTAACATGAACGCTGTTTGTCGTATCCATATTTTATATTTACCACATTTTCCTTTCACGTAGTTTTTACCTCTTTTGTACTATGAAGAAATGAGATTTTTGACTTTTGCATATGCACAAGTTTTCTTCAATTGATAGGACTACGTGCATGTTGAGGTGTGTGCGGTTATAGAAATGCTATATTGATGGCATACACAAAAATTATGCCGGCATGTTAGATGTTTTGACGGATGGATTGCTTTGTGAAAGGATATGATAGATAAGTCCAGTTATGAAGTTCATGTTAAATGCTGGGGGTCCTTAACCTTAATGAACTCTCTGTGATATACTGATATGAGTGAAATCGGATTTACCACGTCCACATTAAATAATTTACCAAAGCATTTGCATAGTAACCATAAACATAGTAACTCCTCGTTTCCAATAGTAAGTTAAATATATTATCCAATGACTTCTATAAATTTTGTGTAGCCTCCTGATAGTACTCAAGCTCCTGGGTCCGGTAGGGCAAAGAGGGATGCTGCTACTCGTGCTATGCAGAGCTGGCATTCTCAGCTTGTTCTTGATAATGGAGAGGTCTGTCATCCAATCATCAAGTTTTTGTGGAAAATTTCCGTGCCTTATCGATTTAATCTTTTGTTTAGTTTCCCCCTCTTGTTTTCCCGCTTTCATCTGCTCTGATTTCACCGTTTTTTATGTATGTTTCCTTAATTTTCTAGGACAAAAACTCGAGTCCGACACCCAAAACTGACAGACAACCTAAAAATTCTGGTATTTCTAATAGTCTAATTGGCTGGCCAAACACATTCAGCGATAACAATTCCAAAAGTTATTCTTTATGCCCGAGACTTGGTCTGTTGTCTCAGGTTCATTAAAGCGCAAAAAGCCATCAACTTGTGTCCAAGCTGCTCCACCTAAACCGAAAAAACTACGGTTATGATTGCCTATTACTTAATTCCTTTTATTTTTCCATTCTGTAAAACTTTTGAAACAATATCTCGACTTTTGAAGGTGCTGAAACTAGGCCTTCTTTTGGCAGGTCAGATACTATGGTTGTCGATATTGGAGCCCCGGCTGATTGGGTGAAGATTAATGTGCAAAAAACCGTAAGTCTTTCTCTCGTGATAATTCTTGAGGACAGTGTGCTACATCGCTATATCCTATGAATCTACCTCTTTCTTCCCCCTTCCCAGGCTGACTGCTATGAGGTATTCGCTTTGGTTCCCGGGTTTCTGCGTGATGAGGTCAGTATATATATCTCTTCATGTCTACTGGTAGTCCCTTCGAATTTGAAATTGCGGAACTTTAAAGAGGTAACGCCTCAATAGAAGAGATCTCATTTTAGCCAGAAGGATGCTGTTGCAAATGTATTAGTTTATTTTTTCCTTTCATAGTAGAGCTTTATTAGGAAATTTATTCGGGTGCTCAAGCGACTTACTCCCCCGTTCATGTAGCTCGTGAACAAAGGCTGCTTGAATAGTTAAGACTGTTGATGTAGCTCATGAACTGTACTAAGAAATTTATTCGGGTGCACAAGCGACTTACTTCCCGCTCATGTAGCTCATGAAAGAAGGCTGATCGAATAGTTAAAGACTCATTAGGCTTTACCATTTAAGGTTCTTAATACTAACTGCTAGGTTTGCACGAGTATAGCCGTTATAAACGCTACACGACTCTTTCGGTGAATTTCCGAGAGAGATTCAATGCAACCAACTAATTAAGATTAATCTCCGCATCTGTTCTCATTTTTCAAATCCGTTTATAACAGTCTGCATGTGCTTAAATGAATCAGGTGCATGTTCAGTCCGATCAAGCAGGACACTTGGTTATATCCGGTGAACCAAGAGAACTGAACAATCCCTGGGGTGTTACACCCTTTAAAAAGGTTCGTCTTATTCGATGAAATCGCAATATGGATAACGGTAATCATGTTCGATAGCCATTATAAATGCCTACTCGGATCGGTAGCCACTGTTTTCCTGACAATGGAATTCCGTATTCAATCAATATTGTTTCTTTTTTCTGAAACCTTTTTCGTTATCAATACATGGTTGTGCTTGTCCAGGTCGTCAGCTTGCCGTCCAGAATCAACCCGAATAAGACCTCCGCCGTCGTTACCCTGCAGGGTCAGCTGTTCGTGCGCGCCCCTATCGATCAGTCGGATGTATAACGTGTAGGCTTTTAATGTAGAGATTTCTCTAGTTTGAAACTGACGTCTGATCATCAAATTCAGCAGTTGCACAATTTTATTGATCAGAGTTTATACAGCCAATCTTCCAACATTAAGCATTTCTTTTCTTTTCAAATGCCATCATTCATGTTCTTCTTTAAGCTCGACTCGGTCAAGTTTGTAAAGGTCCTAAAAACTACCTGTTCTTATCTTCTACCACTTTTCCAAAATTAGGATTTTCTCATGCTATGATCTATTTTTTTATTCCAAAGTTGGGTGATCAAAATGCAAGAGTCTTAAAAGTGAGCTACTTGATCCATGAGTTGAAAAGTTCATGAGCAATTCAAAAAAATAATATTTTAATTTTTTTAAATTAAATTATTAATAATATTAACATTTATATGTATTTTTTAAAATTGTAATATAAGATTTTCATGTACTTTAGATTCGAATTTGAGTTTCAGCTTCAATCGAGCTAAGTACGAGAATATTTCGATTTTAAGTTTTTTTAAGTTTGAGTCAAACTTCAAATTTTAATTTTAAGTTCGAGATAATTTTAAATTTATGAACTTTCAAATTAAATTAAACTCAATTTTAAGCTTTTCGAATTAAATTAAGTTCAACGAAACTCAAACTCATCTCAAACTTACTTACCACCTAAATTCACATTACTATACTTCACGATCAATAAGAAATTGTCATATTACAACTGTATCATTTATAATTAATATTTCGTCGTTTGTTATTATATATCAGAAAAAGTAATAATCAAATGATTTAACATTAGATCGATTTATCAATAACTTTTATTACATGAGAAAATCATATTTTATTTTAATAGATCGAATGTTTATGTATTTTAAAATATAAATTTTGCCGTGTGAAAATAAAACACTAGACTAACGTGGAGGATGCACGCATTTCATGTGGAAAAGACGCTCATTAAAGTATGACGAAATTGCATACCTACTTCCACATATCAATTTGTATTATAATTTCTAGGATAAACTACACATTCAGTACTAAATTATTACTTTTGTTCAACTTTGATACTTGAAACTTTATATTTTCAAAAACCAAACTTAACATTTAGTTTAAGTTTCGTCTGAGTACTTTATTGTTAAAAATTTAATGGTGATGATCACCATGAGATAATATTCAATATATTTGGAGTAACTAACTTCAAAGTTTATTCAATATATTATGATAATAGTCCTTGGAAGGCATCTTTTCCAGATCTTTGTTTTGTTCCCTCTTGCTCGCAAAGATCCTTCTCAGATCTTTCTTTTGTTAAATGAATCAATTTAGTGATATTTATATTAATATACCCAATCAGAAATAAGAAGAACAAAATGAGATTATAATAAACAATACAATAAAGCAAAACTTAGTGGATGATCACGTAAAATATGTTTAATTAACAGTTGTGTTATTTTTCACGTTTTCTAAGGTTACATGCCCTGGGCTTTTGTCTTAGATTATATAATATAAAAGAAAGAAAATACAAAATAAATAAAAGAAGAATTACAAAGGGACGATTTCTCCTTCCAGCTTATTACAAAGAGATTTGTTTCCTCGGTACATTTCTACCATGGGGTTTTTGAAACTTTTTTCCTCTCTAGGAAGAAGCCTTGGAAACATCCTTGCTTGACCTGTTGTACTTCATATGGCTATTAACTAGTTGCCCAGCAGAAATTGCAGACATGAGCGACAACTCCCCAGCAAGGACCGCACCGGCTACTATGGTTGCCAGTGTCCTCGAGTTTGCTCCGGGCGTCTCTTTGCTTGCACCTTTCACTCCGAGTAAATTCAAACATGCTGACTGAGATGCAAGTTGAGTTCCACCACCAACAGTGCCAACCTAAAGGATGAATCATGGAGGAATACAGATAATTAGGCACTAACATCAATAACCCGGATTTTGTTTTTGGTAATTAAAATTCTTGTGTTTCAATAATCGGACAGTGACACGATTGATTACCTCGATAGAAGGCATTGTGACAGAGACGTGAAGGTCCTTGCCGTCGTTAACAGCTTCCATCATGGTGATGCAATGAGAGCTCTCGACGTTTTGAGCCGGATCTTGACCAGTAGCTATGAAGACTGCAGACACAATGTTACTAGCATGAGCGTTGAATCCACCCAGAGCTCCAGCCATGGCTGAGCCAGTAAGGTTCTTAAGCATGTTAAGCTCCACGAGAGATTCCACACTTGTCTTCAAGACCTTCCTCACCACATCGCCTGGAATGATGGCTTCGCAGACAACAGATTTGCCTCGTCCTTCGATCCAATTTACTGCAGACGGTTTTTTGTCGGAACAAAAGTTTCCTACATGAACAAATCCATAACATTCAGTAATCTAAGTCGAGCGGTAAATAGAGATATAACACAAATAGTGCAAGTCTGCAAAAAAAAAAGGAAACTTACCGGAGATGCCAAGGACATCCATGTCAGGGAAATCGGTTTGAAGGAAATCCAAAACGTTTTGGACTCCCTTGGAAACCATGTTCATCCCCATTGCATCACCGGTACTGCAAGTGAACCTCATATACAGATTCTTCCCTGCAATTGCACATTTGATACTTTGAAGCCTACCAAATCTACTTGATCTGCAACCACCAAAAAATTCCAAAACTTTCAATAAACCATTACAGATATTAGCTTCAATTTTAAATCAATCAATCCGAACTTCAAAAAATGTCGAAACAAACCTGTTGAAAACAACAGATAAGGTCTCGAAGCTATCGGGATCCTCCAAATAGAACTTCAAATCAGCTGCCCTTTTCGCCGTACCGAACCTCACGACAGGAGCTCTAGTCATTCCATCTTTCAACAGAACACAAGTAGCTCCACCAGACAAATGAATAGCCTTGAAACCCCTATTAGTGCTGGCCACCAAGCATCCTTCAGTGGTTGCCATGGGAACCGAGAACTCTCTTCCATTAAGCAACAGAGGCCCAGCAATTCCAACGGGAATCTGCACGTATCCAACCGGCATCTCACAACACTGCCCTAAAATCGACTCGTAATCAAACCCCTCCAAGGGCAATCCAGACAACGACTTCCCAGTTAATCTCTGCAACGCCTCACGCCTGATTGCAGCCGCTCTCTTGCAATCACCTAGTTTCGATTCCAACGAATAAGAAGGGGTTGTTCCCGCCACTACGGATTTAATTATCTCCTCATCTTCCTCCGTTAAAACTGTCACAGGCTTTTCATCGAACACTTTCTGGGCAGTGACGATGGGTGCCTGAGGAGGCAGAGAAGGCAGCGAGCAATCGAGAGCTTGTGCACAAGGGACTTTACGGGCATCTTCTTTACGAAGCAGAACTTCATTTTCCTCCTCCTCGTCCTCGGAAATCCAAACGTCGGGGGTCGGTCGGAAAACCAAAGACTGAACAAAGTCAATCCCGAAGAACCCCAAAAGGTAAATGAACGATGCGACAAAGGCGATAATCGCGACGATCTCGGAGAAGGTGACGACGTGGAGAGGCGTGGAGGTACGGATCTTTTCACGCCAACTGGAAAGAAGAAAGTAAACCACCGAGAAGAAAAGGGTAAAGAAAGCAGCATTCGTCAGGTGCAAAGGAAGCGGCAATGCATCGGAGGCTTTAGTGACATCTTCATCTAAAGAAACAGTCTTCGTCGGCTTCAGAGCTTGAACGGGTTTAGTTGAAGATAGCCGGGAAGCCTCCATTTTGGGTGTTTACGGCGGAGGAAGCAGAATTCCGGCGGTGAAGAAGCGTAGGAGAAAACCGAAGCAAACGAGAGTCGATTTTCAGTTAGTTTCTTTCAAAGGTTTATGAGATGGGTTCGAGTTTGAGAAGGCAGAGTTAAGGAGAAGGCAGTATTTATAGGATTAGAGGAAGAGCGCGTGCTAAATGCGCGTGAAGAGAATAGGAGGACAATGCTTGGCATGTGCTACTGTAGTACCTTATGACTTAATAAACCACGAAGAGAAGAGTCAAAGAAAGAATTTGAAGGCAGTGTTGGGGCAAATGCTTTGTCTGCACCTTCCCTCCGTATTTCATTTTCCTTTTTCGTTTTGCTCTTTCGCTTTTTCCCCCAATACTCTTATTTTGGTATTTTCTGTCATTTATTTATAATTTATCAATCTTTTACCTATTCCTAAATTTGTATCATTTTTCCTCAATTCTTACATATTCATAAATTTAGACCGTAATATGACATCTTTTGTCAAATTAATCTTTCTGATTAAACAAGTATTTTTTATATATAAAAATGAACTTTTTAAGTTAGGGACTGGATATAAAACTTTACTAAAGTACAAGGACTGAGAACCTATTTTGACCTTTTCCTGATTACAAAGTCAGATGGAAATTAATTGGGATGGCAACCCTAGAGAAATATCGACCCTATATATAGAACTCATTATCAATTACTGTCATTTCGAATTAATATGTAAAATGGCATTTAACATGAGAAGATTAAAATTTAGAGCATGTTTCTATAAAAAAAAAATATGGCACTTAAAAAGTAAAAATATAATTGAATTAATTTATATAAATTTTAGAAATATATAAGAGAATACTTTTGGTATGATTTAGTAGTTGCATATATCCATTTTTTATATTTTGTTCTTTTGTAAACATGCTTTTATGATTAAAAATTGTTATTTTTTTAACGATTATAAATTCATCGTGACGTTGCGAATAGAGAAAATTAAATTTGAATGGTCATTTTTATAATGAACATTTATAATATTTGATCTTGATCAATTGACTAATAAATCGAATATTTACCATTGTAGAAAAATAACGAAAACTAAATCAATTCCATCGATTTGGTTTTGTTATTTTTTTCTTAAAAATTATCGTTTATATTAAATAATAATGAAGTTAGACAAAATCAATTAAAACTTACAAGTGCATGATTAAATCATGCACGCAGAATATAAATCTAATGGTATACGATAATTTCAATAGAGAACGCATACATATATATATATATATATATATATATATATATAGGTTAAATGAACGATTTTTCTAAAATAAAGAATATTAATCTCTTTATACGATTTGAAAAATATTTCATTAGACAAGGAAGAATTCGTTTCCTCAACGCCGCTGGTTTCTGCAGACAAAAGAGCTGAATTTCAGTCTATGACATGAAAATTCAAACTGGACTGCATGAAGATAGATGATAATAAAATTTAAGTTGCTTACCACATTTGTATAAGAAAATTAATAATATGATATAGACGATAGAATTGAAGGGTTTTTTTTCTTTTTAAAAAAATAATAATAATAAGCAATATGATAATTATTCATCGCCATGTGCTGAAGACTTGGACTGCATGACCAAGTTTTCTTCATAAAAAACCATGTAAATTATACTATTTCTTCTGTATTTATTTAAATATACATGTGTGCGCAGCAGTGCAGGCGTAGTCAGGCCAACCAAACTAGAAAAACTTAACCTTATATTATATATTCTTTATTGCCCAGTTAATTTTTCTTAGCAGAATATTGACTGTAATATTGTCGTCTTTTAGACCATTACTACGTGCCCAAATTAGGTTAGAGTTCGGAAAAACAACCATCTTCAATTAAGAACTCCATTAATAAAAATGGGACAGATTCCAAGACAGTGAAGACCCTAAATTTATTGAGTGTTCACTTCCACATAAAAGCAGTTGGAAGAAACAAGTCATTTCCAGACAGGTAGAACTTGCATTCAAGAAGAATGCATGTGCATGCATCCAGGATGGATTGAAGGAGACAGTTAAAAAAAATTAAATTATCATCATATATTTTAGATTTTGTTTTTGTATTTTCTACTAATAACCTATTTTTGTCCCCTTAAATTTCTATAAGTTCGTCACCTCCTAAAATTTTAAAAGTTTTTCTCCTAACATAAAATATTGCCTCCGTCCCTACATACATATGCTGAAAATTACGTAGATTGGTGTATGTATGCTTGTTTTTAATGTTTGGTGTTCGTTTTATAGTCTATATTTGAATTTATAGTTGTTTCTTTTCATTGTCTTCAAATTAGTTCAATCCTGACTTTCTCTCTTTAAGAGTGAAATGTACCAAGAAAAAATTTATTCAAAATTCATATTCATAAATCATAATCATATGTCAATTGAGGACGTTATATTAATTTAACTAATTAAGGTAGCGTTTGTTTTCACTGTTAAATGTCTTCAAAGCTCTTATGTCTGTGCCGCGCAGACCACGCGCAGACATTGGGCTTCGCAGACTGTTTGTTTTTTTAGAAGACAAAAGCTCTTCTAACGTCTGCGCGTCCTCTTCTTGGCGCAGACGTGGCCTTATGTCTTCAAATCTCTTCTAACCTCTTCAAAGAACAAAAAATATGGATTGATTTCTTTTAAAATAAATTTAATATTTTATTTTTATTTATAATTCAAATATTATATATACTTTAAAATTGTATCTTTTTTATTTAATTAGTGGTTTTATTTTTTTAATTAAAAAATTTATATATAATCTTGTTCTAGTGGTCTAGTCTTAAACTTTTCATGTGGTATAGGTTCAATATATAAGGTATTGTGTAATTCATGACACAAACATCCAGCTTGGTTCAGTAGTAAGGCGTGTGCAAACTGATTTATATTTTAGTATGGATTGATTTATTTTAAAATATGAATTGATTTATTTTAAAAAATTTATTATTGTAGTTGTATGGATTATTTAAATTTCAGTATTGCAAAACTCTTTTAAGCTTAAAAAATCAGTTTATTTATATTTCAGTTTATTTTAGCAGTATGCATACGTTAAAAAACAAACAGTCTTCTTCTTGCAGACTACAGACTTTTGGTCCACCTCTTCTGCTGCAAATGCCTGCAGATGTGGTCCGCAGACTGCAGATCTTTTACCTCTGCAAAAACAAACACCACCTAAGTAACCTAACCTTTAAAATCTACAGTCTAATCGATTGATTTCATAACAAAAACGATAGTTGTTTTCTTGTAGTAGAATTATAAGATAATATTTATTTAGATTTTTCTTAATTTATTGGTAATTCACATGTCTTACAGACGCATGTACTTAAATTTAAAACCTTTAGGGAGAATAACATTCTCTTTTTATTATTAACATCACTTTATATGTTCATAGCAAAATGATAGTTAACATAATTAAGGAAGTTTTGAACCCCATACTAATTACATTAACCCAACATACCTATAAGGAAAATAACTTAACTAAGATTAATATTTGATTTATCCAAGTTGTGATATGCAGGGATGGATGCAGAGCTTTACGCTGGAGATGACGAACTTATAAAATTTTAAATGACGAAAACAGATTTCAATTGAAAATACATAGAAAAAATCTAAAATAGACAATAATTTTAAATTTACAAGTGAACGACTACTCTCACATGTCCCTCTCAGTCCATCCCTAATAGTATGTGATATTTGATGACATCATCATTTAAATTGATTAATATTATGTGAATAGTCTGATTGATTATTAAAATATCAAATCGTCTTAAATATTTTTTTAAATCTAAGTACCAATTGAAAAGAAAATTATTAAACTCAAGTATGACCTAATTTGATTACTTAGTTGGCGTGTGATATGTACCATTGTGATGAGGTGTTGGGTGGAGCAATTTAATTACAAGGTATAGATACAAAACAAGTGGCTCGCATATCAATTAATCATGGTTTGATTTACAAGCCTAAATAAATGACCCAATTATATTTTATTTTTCCTATTATTATTATTATTATCCTAACTTTTTCTTGGTATAACCACGTGTATTTGATTTATTGATAATCTAGGTACTGCAGAGGCGAAAACGATCCTATTTACTCAATTTGTTTCATTCGCAAACACCAATATTCAAATATCTGACTTTACTTAAGGGATCTAGTATCTCATCATACTAAACCAATTAGTTATTAGTATTATTATCCTAACTACACATGTCGATTTTAGACACTTTCTTACGTAATATTATCTTAATTATTATTTCTATAAAATAATTGATATTAACTATTTAACACTAATTATAAACATAAAAAAAAAACTCACAATCGTATACTCATAATATTTCTCAATAAAATAATATATTCTTCAACATCGATTTTCTTTTTTAAACAATACAATAAAAATAACAAATAACCTTTAAACAAGTTTTATGCATTCTTTAAAGGGTTTGAGATATAATTTTTTTTAATAAAATATTTTTAATTGTTGTAGAGTATGTAACAAAAAAATAATTGATCAAATATTATTTTTAACAAAACAATATTTCATAAAAAATTTACTTGTCAAGCAAGTAAACTTTTCACAAGATATATTTAGGTTTGTCAATCAACTTAACTTGTGAAATAAGATCTTACACCATCAATATATATATATGTTATGATCCAATTACACCTAGCGTAAAACTTTTAATTTTACACTTTTTAAGGATCGTTGGATGAAAGGAAATCAAAGGAGATTAACTCATTGTTTGTTTGTTTGTTTCAGTGAATATCTTCATATTTACTACTGTTAATCTCAACATTTGATTTCCTCTCATCCAACGATCTTAAAAAGGTGTAAAACTAAAATGTTTTACACTATGTAATTGGATCATGTCCCTATATATATAATAATTAACACGGAAATTTTTTATATTAAAACCAATTAATTTTTTATATTTGTTTTCAAAACATGTCATTTAATACAAAATAACGATGATAAAGCTAATTGATTTGCTTGTCCACTCGGTCTCAAGTGGCTGGCAGGCTTTTGCCCATTTTTCTTTTATTTGGACTTTGAAATTTGAATGCTCATCACCATCATCAATCACATGCATCACTATTTATTTATATACAGTCCAAAATTAAT